GAGCAGACACCCCATGAATACAATATTACTGCCACTTCTAACATTTTGCAATGTGCAGAGTATTGCAACATATATTGTAATTTATCACCTTTTCCAACTGCAAATTATGTCCTCAAAGATTAACTTTAACAGTGCCTGTTTAATCCAATAAGACAAAGTTATCTCACGTCAAGTTTTTCTTGCTGTAAAATGAGCCAAACACACCAGCACTGTCACTAAAACCTGCCATAAATGTTGCCATAAGATGGGAGTTAGCCTGCCATCAGTCTGCAATTGAATGGGGTCAAGTTGGCTATTGCAAGCAATCTTTTTAACTGTGATCAATCATTGAAAGTCTGTTGCTTGCTACATAGAAAGAAATTCACATTTGGACGAAATGCATATTTAACTATTACCACTGCACTCAGCAAACTTCCTGTTCTTCAGGAATACCACCGTTCTGCAGGGTTGCCGCTGATTGACCAGCCTGCGCAATCACGTTGCGATCAAAAGTGGTCGTGAATGTGCGACAGCCTCAAGCTTGAGGCAACCATTTAGTCACAATAAGTTGCAGTTGCAGTCGGTCAGAGAATATGAAAGAAAATCATCAGACTGACACTGATTTTTTGCAAAGAGGTTCTTTTCCCAGTTTTACTGCTGTGGTGGATGGTGGTGCATGAGATGAGCCAGAACATTTTATACACTTCATAAAATGCACATATTTGGTGTTTCTCTATTGATACATTATCACCATACTCTGATACTATGACACACTGATCATGTTCCCCCACCCCTACTAGAACATCAGTGTCAGTCTACCACCAATCATGTTTCACATCACCACACACTGACAGGCTGCAGAACTTCAGCGCAACCTCAAGCTATTAGCTAGACTCTTGAAACTTAAAAACAACTAGATTTCCAACAGGACAGTGACGCCCTTAAAGAGAGGAAAGTTGGTTGGGGAACAGATAAATTGCCTAATATTAAGCTTCTCTAAAGCCTCAACACTACTGAAATCTGTTGACTCGGCTTTAAAGCCAGTTCCATGCCAGGACAACAAACTTTATTGAACTCTACCAATTCGGCCAAACACAAATGAATGATTACCAGAATTACGCCAAAAGCTTGTTTATGTAAAATTCTGGACCCCATTGTGTTTTTAAAAAAAAAAAAAAAGATTTAAAATGCGTGCAGTACATTTCACTTATTTTTTAATTTTTATTTTTACTTGATGTAAAAGTTTCCGTCCCAGAAAAAGAAATAAATGAAATCCTGATGTTTCCATGACGTTTTAGTCCATGACGAGTGCATCTAAATGTTCAAAACTGTGTAATAGCCATGCTATGCGTATTATAAATAAATAAATAAATAAATAAATAAATAAAGTTTGTCTTACCGTAGTGCAATTTCACTATGAAGGGATGATTGACTTCCACTAAAATGTCTCTTTCCATCTTAGTGCGAACTCTGTCCCTGACTGGAGACAAAGGAGACAGATGGAGCCATTCAGAAAGAAATCCAGCACTGTGGACAGACAATACTGGTGCTGTTTTATGCTGAGATGGCAAAAAACAACAGTGGCATTACCTTTCAAAGATGCCTTTTTTAGAACTTTCATTGCATATAACTGACCAGCATCTGGACCCACGATCTTCCTGACAAGAAACACCTGACAGAAGGCGAATGAGAGGATTTTAGACAGATACAAGTGCCGGCACAAACAAACCACTCAACTCATCTCCAGAGTTCCCCACCTTGCCGAAAGAGCCCTGGCCGAGGACTTTTAGCAGTTCGAACTGAGACGGATCGGCTTTCTCGCAGCCCTCTTTTACATGGTGGGTGATAGGAATCTCCTTATATGTCCCATCATCCTACACAAACATTAGCAGAATGAGACAGAAACACGAGGCGGTGGGGTTAGGTCACCGCTTCATGCACACAGACATGAAGACTTAAAAGCACAGCCTTACTTACACAGTGTGAGAAAGACTCTCCCTCCTCCATGGGCTCATCCATGATCTGATGCCCATTGACCTGCAGCCAAAGCAACAAATCTGATCAGAGTTGTTGTCAACAGCAGTAAGCACTTTCACAAAGCTTATTCATCCTTGTTTTTAGCTGAGCAGGACTATGACTGCAGCAGCAGCTGCACGCCCACATGTATGATGGAAGATTCAACAGATGAATTCGATGAGTCACACATGCAATAATACGGCACTGTCCCTTTTCCAACTGTAGTTCTCTGCGTGTTGTCAAACAGTATGGAGTCCATACTTTAATCCCGTCCAGCTGTCCAGCCCTTATCCTGTCCCTATAAAGCCCCCCCCCCCCTTATTAGCATTCTAGCTTAATCCCCAGTGAGAGCAAAAAACAAGCTCCAAGAGTCAGATATTTGCTGGAGCTACAGTCAGCATTCAAGACATAATAGGGCCTGTTTCTTTTAGAGCTTCTAGCTGATGATGCTGGTAAATGCATACTTTAAATGACCGCAGACCACGTTTAAGAAGCGCCCCCCCCACCCTCTTTGTTTACTGTAACAGCCACGCACGCTGAAATGACATTGTCAGAGGAGGAATGTCAGATATCTCGGTATCTGCAAATCAAACGACTGACCACAAAAACATTATCCAGGTCTGAATATTTCAGTTATGGGCTGAAGCGCAGCCTGCATTATGTATTCAGTCCACTGTGTTTGTGTGTGTTGAATTCCATCAAGCCTCTGAAGAGGGGTATGAGTCATAGCACTACGCAAACCCACTCAGTGGGTGGAGCCACCAACATACACTCGTGTACATCCACACAACGGAGGCCAGCAAAACCACTTTCCAATATCTTGCTACTGCTGCTGCAGCAGAGCAACACTGGCAAGAAAAACATATTTAAAAGAAAAAAAAAAATCTGACAAGATAGACACCGCAAAGGCCGAAACAACGCAGAATAAAGCTGAAAGCAAACGCCTCGGTGCATCTGTGAAGGGTAACATCCAAGCTTGGCCGAAGCCAGGGCAGAGCTTGTGTCATAATTCACACATAGATTTTTTTCACTCCCACCTTTGCTGTGGCTCATCACAGCTTGTAATGGGAGTGCAGCCTACACTCAGCGCAACCAGGCCAGCCTTTTGCAGCCATCTGATGTCTGACAATCCTACATACCGTAATATCATTTTGCATACACTTATACCGGCATACAAGGGTTTGGCCTGAGAAAAAAAGAAGTGTTTTATGTGAGAACTGATACAGTGTTGATTAAACAGCCAGCATCACCACTGCTCTGGTTTAGGTAGCTCAGCTGATATTTACTTCTGTAATCTCACAGTCTTCAAAGCTGCAGCTTACAGTAAACAGCAAATTCAAGTGTTTGTCTGCAGTAAAACTTTTTAAAAGTGGCGATCATGGCTCAAGAGTTGGGTGTTCGTCTTGTAATCGGAAGGTTGCCGGTTCGAGCCCCAGTCTCGGTCGTTGTGTCCTTGGGCAAGACATTTCACCTACCGCCTACTGGTGATGGCCAGAGGGGCCGATGGCGCGCTATGGCAGCCTCGCCTCTGTCAGTCTGCCCCGGGGGAGCTGTGGCTACAACTGTAGCTGCCTCCACCAGTGTGTGAATGTGAGAGTGAATGAATAGTGGTATTGTAAAGCACTTTGAGGGGTCCCGAAAAAGCGCTATATAAAAATGCAATCCATTATTATTGTTATTAAAAGCATTGTAATATTTGTGCCATGAAGCTGATTAAGTTATTATAAAAGGTATTATATGAAAGATTAACAAAAAGCTTTAAAAGTTTCCAAGAGAAACCTCAATAAAAATGGAAGGGTCAGTTCAAACAACCCCGGGATGTTTCAGTAACTTTCTGTTGACTTTACGAAAGTCACAGAAGTCTGCCAGACGGACTTTTTCAGTGTGTAAATGTGAAAGGACCGCAAAGAATCCCAGAAATCAGGTTTAGGATGTCAAGTTGGCTTTGCTGCAATTGGAAAACCTTATTACCGAGCCCGTGCAAAAGCAAATTGAATCCTTCCCACAGCTATCACAAGACTGTTTCTGGATGTCATTGCAAAAAGGTATCACTGGTTTGTACTAACAGTGATAAATAGTACAGCTCCATATTGCGCAATTTTCCAGTCACAGCGTCGTCACTTTATTGCCGCTGTCAGTCCATTGTTAAACGCGTTGTGCACTTTTTTGGTCAAATTATAACTTATAAAGCTGCGCACAGACGTTTTTGTTATTAAGTTATTAACAGCATCACTAATTCACAAGTACTGCTGACAAGCCAACCTTCAGCAGTAAACACGACTGACCGATTTAGCGCAGCTAATGATAAACTTTAAACAAAAAAAACAAACAAAAAACTGCAGTGGCTGGATTCATGCGCTGCCTAACTACTACACACACAGACTAAAGTACTTTAGCAACCTTTTATTACTTAAGCAGTAGAGGTTGGATAACAACTTGGCTCCCAAGTTTTCAAGCCTGCAAGCTGTCAGCTATCAAGCTAGCTGCTGCTAATGCTACAAGCGCTAAGCTAGCTAGGAGGTAAACTCCTCCTGAGAAGTGTAAATAACAAGAAAAAGATGCGCGACGGGCACCTGTCATTGGGTAAAAACACCAGTGTCGGTGCGGAATGATGAGCCGTTGCGAAAGACGGGACGGGTAAGTGTTAAACTAATAAGAAAAAAAATCAGGGCAGTGCAATAAAAACAAACATCTAACCAGCTGTTAGCATTAGCTAGTGCGTTAGCATGCATCACGGTGCGCTGCAGGTCGTGATGCGAATTTAAGCTCTGCCGAGACGAGCGGGGCGAGATAACTTAACGGGACACCACGAAACCAGAAGCAACGCGGCGAGATTAACATGCAAAACACGCATTTGTCAACTCACCTCACTACTAACGCTGTTTACCTCCATCTTGTACCAGGATTCCTCTCCAAGTCTAAGGCATCGTAGTCCACCTAGACCCCCGCTCCACGTTGCATGTCTTCCCCCCCCAACCACCCTCTGTGGAAGTCCGGCTTTTTTCTGCCTCGATGCTCCGATGCAGGCTGTGGAACCGCGGGCCGCTCCGAGGAAAGGTTTGGAGGGTCGGCGCAGGGAACAGTCGATGTTGATGACTGGATCACACGCTCGCCGAAAGCACCGCTACCCTACCATAGATGCGAATATGGCGGCTACCGTGGTACCTGATCGTCAGTGAATGGGACTTTATTGACGTATTTATGACGCAATTCAGTTAAGGATTTCCCCCGTCCAAACCAAAGCAGCAGGTCTCGAGATAGAGAGGAGGGAGAGTGGACGTGGTGGCGCGGGGACCTGATGCTGTGTGTGACATGCACACATCCGGTTGATGGACTATTTGCTAGCGACCGAAATAGTTAGTCACCGTGACTGTGGCAGGCAGCGAGTTATTTTATTTATTTATTTTTGCTTTTTTCTTGCTGTTGACGCATGATGAAATTAAAGCGCAAACGATTTGTAAGTTAGCGATCTTAACAGTGCGAGCTGTACGTTTTAAAACCACTGTTTCATAAGCCTTCCATCCCTGGTTTAAGTGCATATAAGAGGCTTAACGCTCTCCGCTTTCTCTGCAGCTTTCTCCCACCCACAAATGCTCCGTGTTTGTGTAGTGAACGACTACATGCGTGGATTTGTCTATTTGATTTGGCACACGCATTTCTTCAGTCTAAACAATACAGCTTAATTATTTAAATATATATTCGTGTACATATTTGGCCATTAATACTTCCTTGTACAAGTCAAGATACAGTAGGTCAAAACTTACGTGCCAATCTGTTAATAAATACCAGTATTCGCAATAAGACTAACTGTATTTTAACAATCAAACCTGAGGAAGCACTTTGCGACAGTGGTAAGGAAAATCTCAATTTTAACAGGAAGAAATATCTGGCAGAACCAGGCTCAACCCAACTCTGAGCAGCCTGCAACTATTACAGCAGTGTAACTAAGGAAGGGTTTGAGGTCACCTGATTCAACCATCACTATAAGCTTAATCAAAAAAATAAAGTTTTAAGCCTAATTTTGAAATTAGAGAGGATGTCTGTGTCCCGATTCCAAACTGGGAGTTACGTCCACAGAAAATGGGTCTGAAAGCTGAAGCTCCCATTCTACTTTTAAATAGCCTAGAAACCAGTAGTAAGCCAAAAGCCTGAGAGCAAAGTGCTCTACTGGGGTGAGATAAGATGAAGATAGATGGGGCCTGATTATTCAAGCCTGTATGCTTGGAGTCCCCGTCAGTACTTTCACTGCAGCATTCTGGATGCACTGAAGTTGATTAACTGAACTCATACTGATGGCGCTCCAGTAGCAGTGTGTGTGTATGCAGCTGCGATCATTGCAGTTACAAGTTTGTTAATGTTTTTAAGAAGTTGTATTTTTACAGCTTAAATTCCTACATAATTTCCTACTCATACTCAGTAATACATGAGAAAAACAAAACACGAGACAAAGTTAAGTTAGAGGTCATTTATTGTTCTCTCAAGGCGAATGATATGCAGTAAAAAAGCCCAACAGTCATAAGTGAAGCGTCAATCCACAGGCACTGGGCGTGGAGTGTGACTTTTCCAAGAGTGTTTTTGTAATTGTTAGACACTACAGTCTCTATAGTTTGAAATAAGCCTCTTTTTGGAGTGAGGAAACATCTCTATAATTGTGTCTGTGTCACTCTGGTTCTGCTTCTGCTTCCTGCATTTGCTCCTCTGATGCAGAGGGCTCGGCAACATCAGTATCATCTTTGATCATGGTGACCAGCGGGACTTCGTTTGCCTGGGCCAGCTGAGGGTCTCTGAAGCTCGCGCAGGCTGCCTGGGGGTTACTGTGGTTGGAGGATTCATCTGCTGACTCAGCAGGAGACTGGGCTCCTCTGTCCACGGTCATGTCCCATTCCTGGTCTGAAGGCTGAGGTAGACTGGCCATGAGTTCCTAAACATGCACGGCACAACTCAGCTTAGACACTGATAATAAGCTTTTCTCATTTAACATATAAACAAGACTGTGAACATACCTGCTGCCTCTCCAGGTCATTGTTCCTCACAGCACTGAGCAGGCTTTTTGTGAAGCTTGCAAGATCCTGGTACTTTTGTTTTTGGTTCTCTAGCTCATTCTCCAAGAACTGGACTTCCTCATGCTGAAACAGAAGGATCCAAACAAGGCAAAGAATCCATTCAGAATTTAAAATAATGCTAATTCAGGTTACAGCACATTTAGCATCGTGCATTTTATCTTTGCCGCTTTTACAGCACCGTGAGCAATGCTTTGTGAATGTGTCACAGTCTGTGTGGGTGTTTTCACCTTGAATTCCAGCAGGTTCTGCATTTGCTCAAGGTCCGAAGCCACTAATTCATCCTCATCGGCTTCCTCGTCCTCATCGATCACTTCGATCTTCTGTTAAAAAACACAGACATCAAATCACTTTAAACTCTGGAAACGAGCAAAGAAAAATTATTTCCAACAGTTTCGGTGATAATTATACCCTTATACACATTACATGAGGCCTCTCCTCAATTAAGTAAACAATACATCACCATCATCCTCGTCAATAAATAATCCAGAGAATGAGAATGAAAAGGCTTTTACAATTATTTAAAACTAATTCATTTAAAACCTAATAACCCAACAGTCATCTTAATCAGTGCTCTAGAACTATTATTTAGAAAAATGAGCTGAGGCAGAGAAAAATAAATACAATTATTGGCTACATGGTGACCCTTTAATCACAACAAGCTAAGATAAAAAAAATGTGCCTGCGATTGGTCAAGAAATGTATTCGTAAGCATTGTATTTGTCACTAGGTTGCTTTTGATTTTATACACTGCTACATTTCTCCTGGGTACTAATTAAAATCCTCTAAAGCTTAATGTATGAACATAATATTAGCTCTACTATAATGTTGAAAAGTCCCCTTTGAAAAAAGGCTGACTAAGCACATTGCACATTGTGATGTAAGTTTGCGAGTCACCGGGTGGCAACCTTGAAGACTCAGAAAAATGTAGCCACTGCTATGTGCAGTTCCTTTAATGGAGACCTGAGGCTGTTTCTAAAAGTGAGTTGACATCCACACACTTGCATGTTAAAATCTCCAACGTTTTTAAAGCTTGTACTGAAAGACATTATAAGGAGTTAGCGGTTTAGTCTTTCTGGTAAACAGACTGCACTCCAAGCATCCCCTTTAATACTGCAGTGAATTATAGTTGCTGTCAACCAAACTAGCTTCAGTTTTAGCAGACAACTCTCAGCCTAATTGCTAAACTCATATCATTACATGTTAATATGAATTCTACAAATCACAAAAGCTAATGAGGCTCTAATATAAAGAAGAACTCATAAAGTACCACATTATTGGCCATTGGAGCAGCATTGGACAGATCGTTTCCATCCTCTCCATCCCTGTGTTGTGAATCGATGGTGCCATCTAGGTTTGACATAGATACTGCGTAAATGCCGAGATGCACGGTTTGTACACAGGATGTGTTAATGTGCGGACGGCATCAGCGGCCTCACCCTCAGACAGGCACACAGAGCCGCCATCGTTCATGTCATCTCCGATTTCAGGGGTTCTGAGGCGCTCCTCGTTAGGGCTGAGGGACACTGGCGATTGGTTTCCTGGCGATGAGGTTGTGAATACAGCAGGCCCACCTTTGGGTGGAGGGATTTCAATACCCATCAGACGGTACTTCCTCCGTCTGTTACTGATCCATGTCTGTAAATCATGTGAGAACAAATGGGAGACCGGGATAAGTATCAGCAGGTGTCCGGTATATTTCCATACCCGGATTTTCTATGAGTGCGCTTATTAAACAAATGGACTGCCTCTTTGATCTGGAACAAGATTCTCTAACACTGATTCATCCAATCACCAAAGTCAGAAGGCAAGGTCAGATGGTGAACTGCACCAGTTGCAGCAAGGAAATTATTTTGCAGTGATCTGAAGATAGTCCTAATTTACTGTAACTCTGAAGGCAAAAGTTTTATTCCTTGCAATAAATATCCTTGTAAGTGAGATGGCACAGGGTCATGTGTGTGTGTCAGGACTTAGAGACTATATTTAGTCTACCAGCATTCCTGCTGTGGCCCTGATATATAACAGCATGACTTTTACACAACATTGTGCAAGTAAGTTAGAAAACCTGACCCAGAAAAGTTGTTCTTTTCTCCTTTCTAACAGCCCTCAAGAGCTCAGACAAGTTAAATAGTCCTGTTTCCACTAAATGTCATAAATAAGTGAACAACTGAAGACCCAAAGCTTTACCATTTGTTTTGTAGCGTATGCAATGCCATGTCTCTTTTTTGATTCTTCCAAACCTAGAATACATTAAGCTATTTCTTTCTTGTTGAGTTGGCTACCTTGACTATTTCAGTGTCTACATTGAGTTGGTTTGCTGCAGCGCTGATCTTCTCCCTGCACACTGAGCCCAGGCTGGTCATGCCTCGGTCCCAGTAGCGCTTTAGCTGGATAAGATCCCCATCACTGAACTGGGTCCGATCCTGCAGCTGAAAACACAAAACCTGTCTGACTACATGTCTCGCATCTATAATTGTATTACTTATTTCCAGCATGCTACATGCGTGCATAAATGTGGTGCTTTAGAGCGCTTACTGTTCTCTTTCTGGAGTTGCTAATAACCCAGGGGGCAGCAGATACACCAACTGCAGTCTGCACACAAAGACACGTAGGTTAAATCTGTCAACTCACTTAAAGGGACGAATGTACCAGCAATAAAACCGCTCCTACTTGTGAGCTGGATTCCCCTGTAAGTGAGGTCTGTGCTGTGAGGGAGTAGCTGCCCTGAAGCAATGCGGGTCTGGAGCTCGTCATCGGAGGTGTGTGGTTTCCTCGCACGACAGACACTTCGGCCCCGATTGGGCTGGCTGACGTCTGCTCCCTGTGGATGTGTGTTTGAGCGGCCATATTTGCCAACTCTTCTTCCCTTTGCCACTCATCTTCTTCATCTCCAGTTTCCATGGCAATGGAGAAGTTATGACTGGTGTCCAGAGGTGCTGACCTGTGGGTTTCCTGGCTTTTACGAGCTGATTTTGGTCCGGGTCTGAGGCGGTCCCTGTCGCCCTTTTCTGACAAGGTGAAAACCTGCTGAATACGAGGTGTCTGATCAGAGGACGGGCCGGCGTTGTGAACTGGCAAGGAGACCCGAGTTTTCTGTGGAGCAGGCGGCTGAGGTTGTGGGTTGGAGTGAGGTCTGGGCTGAAGCTGAGTCTGGGATTGTGAGGAAGAGGACCAAGGGCGAATTTGCGCTGTACCGTATTGTCTAGTCCAGCTGTGAGGTACTACCCCTGCTCCTGCGCTTACCCCCCCCTCCCCAAGGGATAAAGCACCTTTTCTGACTGCAGTGTAGACTAAAGGCCCTGAGGCAGAAGTGAGGGATGGGAGATTCTGAGAAAGTGACACTAACTTGGAGTGGACGGGTGAGGAGGAGGAGGAACTGTTCCTGATCTGCAGCACCTGGTTCATCAGAGATGAGGATGTGTGCGCAGAGAGGTCAGAGTCTGACTGAGGCGGTGGGGCCGTGGCTCTCGGTCGAGACTGAGGGCCAGGGTTCAGAGAGTAGATCCCTGTTAGTATTACATCATTGTTGTTGTTGCTTCCACTGCTTAGGGGTGAGGAAGATGAGGGCGGGGAAGGTGTCGACGACACAGAAGGGAAGGACGAGGATGGAGGGAGAAGGTGCACGCGGTTCTGGATGCTCCGCGCTGCAGTCATGTCAGCAGGAAGCAGCGCTCCTACTGCTAGGCTGTGATTGGACAAAGCACCTCCGGCCAATGTGTGATTGGAGAGCATTCCCCCAGCTAGTCCATGACTAGATAAGGAATGAGACACCCCTCCATTCTGGGGAACCTTGGAGGCGAGCTTACGCCTTTTGTTGCCAACCCATGTCTGCAGGGAGAGAGCAATCAGCTCAGTAACATCACTTAAAAAAGCATTCTGCAAAACATTAGGGGAACTAATTCTGCTAAGTGAGGGCAATAACTCATGACTCTACACTAGATGAAGAGCTCGCATAGTATAGATCTGACTCACTGCCTTGATTACCTGCTGCGGCATTACATGAACATTCCTTAATAAAAACGAAACAGAGCATAAATCATAGCAAAGGGTTCCCTACTGCTCGTTCACACGCACAAGCACATTTTATGGGCCTACCCGGACAACACTGAAGTCCAATTTGGCCTCCTGAGCACACTGCAGTATTAGCTGGAAGCAAGACTTGCTCTGATTGGTCATCCCATTCTCATAGTAACGTTCCAGGATCCTCTGCTGCTCAGCCGTAAATACTGACCGCAGGTTCATCTTAGGGGAAAAGGAAAGATAATTACTACTACTAAGTCCCAGCTCGCGGAAATTTTAATTATTTAATTATGGAATTTTCTTTCTTTGGCTAAAACCAACAGAAACTCTTGATGTACTCACCGTCTGCAGGCCACGCCTTTGTGGCCACGCATCCATTCTACTGCTGGAGGGGAACGGGGCAGCCATGCAGATCAAAGCGAAACCTCCGTATTTCTACATTTGCACTATTTTGTTTGTGCCCATTTTGTCTCAGTGTACCCGACGTGCCGCTGGGTAGTGTGGCTGAGGAGAAAGCAAAGCAGACAACACCTTCTTGCAAAGTGTAAACAAAGAGTATAAATAGTAAAAGAAAAGGAAAAAAAACATTACTCCATTTAGCAGTGTGGATTGACAAAAAAAAAAACCCAGAAATGAAATCACTTTTATCACACACACACACCTATATACGTAACAAAAAAGTCTTGAGCCACCACTCGTTTCTTTATATTTTGCTAGGAAAACAGGAAATAAGTGCAGTGATTAACTGAAACATGCACATATGGTTCACCTTATATAACTATATAAATACAGTATATAAGGCAAAAACAGAGGTACAGCTTTAAAGCCAATACTTGGTGCAACCACCTTCATTATTCAGCACAGCCTGGACTCCCTGAGCCAAACTTTCTTGTCATTTCTTCAAGTAGTCTTCAGGAATAGTTTTCCAGGCTTCCTGAAGGGCATTCAAACCTATTCTTTGCTTGTTGGCTGCTTTTTGTTCTGTTCTGTCAAGACCATCCCACAGTGCTCTAATAATGTTGAGGTCTGGGCTCTGGGGAGGACAATCCATGACTGATAGTGTTTTTCTATCCAGGTATGCTTTTATCGCATTGGCAGTTTGTTTTGGGATCATTGCCATACTGAAAAATGAAGCTGTTGACAGTCAGACAGCTTCCATGCATGACAACACCACCAACTGAAATGCAGCACCAAACCATGACAGAGCCTCCATTGTCTTTTACAGATGGCTGTAAATCCTCGCTGTCATACCTCTCTCTCATAACTGAACCAGAAATTTCAAATTTGGATTTGTCACTCCATCAGACCTGTTGCCACTGATTTTCAGTCCAGTTCTTGCTCTCTCTCTTTCTCCTTGTTTTCCTTCCTTACCTACGACTGAGACCATTTCTAATGAGGCTTCACTGAACAACAGATGATTCAGCTGAAGGTCAGATGCATTTCACAGGTCCTGTGTTAGGCTTTTTCATCCTTTTTTTTTCCAACCTCTACTTGTCCAATTTCCTCACATTTGTTTTTGTTTTTTGGATACACTGCACACCACACCAAGATATGCCAAGTTGTCAATTAACCTCTCGTTAGCAATCACCTGTCAAACTCTGTTATGTTTGGGATTTTTTTGTGAATTAAATTAAAGAAATGACAACAAATTATGTGATTCTGCAACAGATTGCTAGTAACAAATAACATTTTAACAATTTAAAAACAGTTCTTTGCTAAATTGTTATGTGTAGATATGAAACCGGTTCATCCATTGAGTTAAGAGCCTTTTTTATGCTTGAATGAGTCATAGTCAAGTGGTTTAAACAAACAAACAAACAAACAAAAACAGCATCTCTCTGAAAATGCTCAGGTGCACCAATTGGATTGGAAAAGAGTGAAAAAAATAAACAATTTCAAAAGAAAAACATTGAAAATCTTGCAGAACTATTTCTTGGATAACTGCAAAATTAAAAGACAGTCTGGCTCCTTGAAAGCAGAATGCAAAGGAAAGAGGGCACAGGGCATAAAAGTTATAATAGTCCAGTACTATAATAGCATAACAGTACTCAGTCATTTGAGCAGCTGAGTAGTTTTAGTGCAGTTAAAATACTCAAAATACTAATCAAAACAAGTACTTGTTTTATCAAATGAAAACCACTAAGAGTACTTTAATAAATCCAAAAGTCATAATTACATACTTATAAATGATAACGTTATGCCTGACTTTTGGCAAAAACAAAACAAATGGTCCTGTTGAAACTCCTGGTAATTGTTAGAGCCATTCAGCCTTCAATTTAATTGTACACACCGTCATGAGTAATGAAGTGGCACACAGGTAACCTTGTCCATTTGTTACAAACTGATTTATTAACATGGCTGAGTTAAATGTGAGACTTTTAAATGTGTGCAAGTTTCGTAGCAGTGCTGTCCTGCGTTAGGACGGGGTCGTGAGGAAGAAAACAGCGGTAGCCAAATTAGCGTAAAAAAAACCCACGCGGACTTTCACAGAGCTGGAAAAACAAAGGCGAACAAGTTTTAAAGCAGAGCTGGGAAATGTTTTGTTTGAAACAAAAGTCACATACGGGAATGTTGTGCGACCAATAAGCAGGCGGCAGGTTTATTTTGAAAGGCTGACTGCGCATGGCTACAGTCAATATGGAAACATTAAGGAGAGAATTAGCAAACAAATTGTGGGCACGTCAGGAAACGGCGGATTCCGGCGCGGATTTACCGCACGGGAGGCTCGTGCCATAACTTTACGGTCGAAAACCCGCACAGTAAACTGACCGGGTAAGAACCGCTTTGTCACAATGGCAACACAGACAGCCTACGTTAGCTTGCAGGCCCGAGCGGCCATGTCTGAGCCAGCCAACGGTAGCTAGCATTAGCATAGCTCTCCCAATGGATAGCTGCAGCTAAACTTTTCCTTCAAATCTGTGATTTCCCGACCGCGGCAGGATCATTCTCACTGACCCTGGCTTCGAGCGGATGCCAGGCTACAAAGCGTTCTGGGGTACCCTGAAGCAAAAAGGAAAAATCACGTCCCTACATACCATTTTTGATGTTAAAATCAGACGAACGCTCAAATTCAGCAGATTTCTTCACCAGTCCCCTTTGCTAGACAATGAAATCAGAACGTCCGATCATCAATTCTAATCATGATTGTGACGTATTTGCAGACAGGAGCCAATGGGAGCTCGAGATCATCGCTGTCACGTTCGGAACAGGCTGAAAACTGAGCACCGTAGTCCCGCCCACCATTGACTTTGTTCACAGGACTGCTGGAAGGAGGAGGTCACAGACATGGAAGCAGTGGAAAGTTTGGGTGGGGAATGCCTCGTTTTCTCTTCACCTGGATATCTCTTACTTAAACTGCCCTCTACAGCACTGCACAAGGAGGAACTGTTTCACTACAGGCTGCAAAAAAATAACACAACAACCCCCCCCACGCACACTTTGTTTGATTGCAGATGTGTTTAGAGTTCTGGCTAAGGTCTTCATTAGTTATTATACGTTTCGCTGAATATTAGAATTTGCTTTTGGAGATGTAAAATCTACACTTATAAAACTTTAAGATGGTGTAAATATGCACATATGTTTTCATTATATGAATTTGTTATGATAATGAAGATACAAAACATATATATGTGAACTGAATTACTGTTTATAGTAATAAAGTTTAAGCACCTCATCTAACATAAGTTTGGATGCACTCTCAGCAAGGTCCACAACGTAGCTGATTTTCAGTACCTGTTACAGCCAAGGAGTTTATAGGTAACACTAACAATCAACACGGAGACTCGGTGCTATAAACAAAATAGGTGCTGATTTCTATTCAATTACCATTTTTGGACATAAACGAATCACAGCAGCAGTCTCCCTCAAGGTGCTTTTATTGTAAGATACCTCTATAATAGAGATTTTTCTGTATGAGAAACTGATATTTGATGTTTGTTTTACTTTGAATCTATGACAATGAAACAAAGACTTGCCTGTCAATTGCAAATATTATAAAACAATAATTGAATCTCGTTTTAATTTAGATGACTTCTAGAGTCATTATTAATATAAACTGCCACTAAGAAGGGTCACGTAAGCACTTTGTACTGTTGCTAATTTTTTTTAATTCTGCCGAATTAGTTAATTTATTCTCTCAATAAAGATGTCTCTCATTCCTAAACGATGACCTGAAACGGTATCTATCGTGAGTGGAAGTTGGTGGTGTGGATGTATGTGGAAGCGGGCGCTGCTGTAATCCATGACGTCACCTGGTTCCCAGGTACGCAGCAGGGGGCGCTGTTCCTCCCAGCTAGGGTCCACACAGCGAGCAGCAACGCCTGACAAAGTTGATGCTGATTTCCTCACAGACTGAACTTTAAAAAAAGGAGGAGGAGAAGAAGAAAAATCTTACACCTGCTTGCCATGTGATGCGGCACGAGCTGCTGACGCGCAGACGTATTATTGCAAAGCAGCGCTGACGAATTCTTTCTTTGCTGGGAAGAAAAAAAAACATAATTAATGATCATTTCTGAAAATTTCCACAAGTGCCCTACTTATACCGTCTCTTGTATTCAGTAGAACCTACTGCATTTCATATATTATTTATCAGGGTGTTGCTGCTACATAGTCTGCTGTTTATTTACTGTTTGCATTACCCCAACCCCCAGACACCCCTCCCACATTGTGTATATGTACATGTGTATGTAAGGCAAGGAGGGAGGGAGACCGAGAGAGATCCTCCCTATATGGTGTGCGTTGCACCATTCCCTGGTCTGTATTATGAGTGGTGGCCCTAGTGATGCTGCAGCGAGGCGGGCTGGAGGGGGAAAAAAGAGGAGAGGAGAAGGAAGGGAGGGGAGGGGTCGCTCCATCCCCTGTGCGCCCACCGAATCCACTTCTCACAGAGCGCGGGGCTGCTGGCTGGCGGGAAGGCACGAGAAAGAGAGCGAGAGAGTGAGAGAGCGAGGGAACGAGAGGAGGGAGGGAGAGGGAGAAGCGAAGAGAGAAGAGGAGAAAAGCGTGTGTGTGCGTGTCCGTGTGTGCGCGTGTGGATTGCACCACCGCATCCAGTTCACCGTTTTCTGCAGGCGGCCATGCTCCGATGGAGAGAATAAACCCGACCACGTCTGGTTTCCCCTCAGATTTAGCCACTCCGCTCCGTGTTTCCAGATGTGACTGACAAGTCGTTTTATGTCGCCCGCATTGAGCTGTGCGCTGTTCATCTCGGATAGACTGTGACACCATGGCTTTGGTTATGGAACCTATAAGTAAATGGACACCAAAGCAGGTGCTGGACTGGATGAAAGGTAATGTTGGATACCCCACCACCATCACCCCCATCCCCCTTTTCTCTTTCTTTTTTTCTCCCTGTTGCACCATGCTCTAACGTTTTCATGCTGCTTGTGGTTAGACCGACGATAACGATAATGATGATGAGGATGGTGATGATGATGGTGGTGGTGATGAGTAGCAGAGGGCCATGCTCTGTGCATGTGTGTTCTCCTTGTCCAAACCTGTACCCTGCGCCAGACCACTCGGAGACTGATTAAAGTCACTAAAGTGGACCGAAATGCGTTCGAGCATGGATTCCCCCCCCCCCCCCCCCCCATTAAGAAGCGGGGACTTCAGGCTTCTGTCATCTGGCTTGCTTGAGAGCGCATCTCCTGCAAGCCCAGCCATATATGGCAGCGGCGGCGGCATCTCTCTCATCAATGAATGCTGAAGATATGTCATCTCCGCTCACTGGCACATGCCCTTATCAAACCCATGTCACCTCTCGCCGTGCATGTGTGCGCGTGCCAACCGTGCGTGTGTGATTAATGTTAGTTAGCTGCATGCACCCCCCCCCCCCCCCCCCCGCCCCTTCAGTGGCTCACGCCAGCCCGTTTCAGCACCGTGGACAGCGCAATGCCGCCTGCCATATAAGGCAAACGCAGCGATCACACTCGCTTTTTTTTTGTTTTTTTTTTTGCTTTTTTCCCCCTGCTGCTCGCTTTGCTGGCACGAGTTAAGTCCCTTCAAAGCGACAGTATGAATGAGTAATCCCTAATCGTGCGTGTAATACGTGTGTGTGTGTGTGTGTGTGTGTGTGTGTGTGGGTGTGTGTGGGTGGCGGTGGTAGGTGGTGTTCTCACACACATGGTCATCTACAGAAGCTGTGAGAGAAACTGTGGTAGGCCTATTGACAGACAATAGAAATGGAAAGGGAGGGTGTCCGCAACCCCTTACTTAAGAGGATGACTTAATCGCTCCTTGTTTGATGACTCAGACTGTTACAGGAGTGTAACAGATACTTTGCGAGTGTGTGTTTGAATTATATATGCAGTGGCCAGGTTCGGTATTTAATGTAGAGATGTGCTCGATCCCCAAGTCCCTGTGTGGCTTTTTGGGACCACTACTTTCCTCGTGTGACGGCCAAGCGGTGATCTCTTGGGTTGGAGAGTCAAGGTATAGCCAACACACCATCTGAGTACGCGGAAAGGGATTATTTTGGGATGCGTTACATTAAAGTGCTTACGAGGTTGTTCCAGGTTTTTATGCTCCCCTCTACCTCTACCTCTCTGTTTCTCCTCGGCCTCAGCCAGTGGAGCTCCAGCTTCATGCTCTGATCCGTGGAGTGCTCATTCGGCACTGCATATTAAGAGAGGCTGAGCGGATTTCTTTTAATGTTTTTTTGTTTGTTTGTTTGTTTGTTTTATGTGAGATTACATGGGGGCAGGCCAAATCGTGAATAGATATCGCAACTTGGAGAACAGAAACAGAACACAAAATAAAAAGAAACATTTGCTCACAAGATGTCGAGAAGCAAGTGATCAGAGCTTTTACCCCCTTTTACAGAGCCAGTGCCAACAAAAAAGTGATGTCCACCTTATTTGCAGTTTCTCCAGTGTAAACAAACCCTCTCTCCACATGTAGCCCAGGTTCCATTTGATCAGCAAGAAAAAAACCCTGAAAAACAGAGCATAACTGTTGAGCTGGTGGGTCTGATTTCCACTGTCATGTTGTGATCGTCATTAAGCCATCGCGTCCCACTGCAGTTTAAAAACTCTCAGTGTGGAAAAGGAAAAAACGAGGAAAGAAACTCCGTGCCACGATTCAAATCCACCTGCTCGATAATGAGTACAAATGATCATGCTTCACGATTTTTCACGTTTTGTTACATGCAAATCCTAGACGTCTTAAAGCACTGTTTATAAAAAAACCCAAAACTTTATGTTCAGTGAAGGACAAGCAAAGAAATATGTCCACATTTGCATCCAACCCTTTGAAGGAGAACTGTTTCATCTTGGTCACATAAAACAAGCCACATCCCGGCCTCTTTCACATGAAGCTCGGAGGTTCGTTTTCATAGATGTTTGCCAGCATCTCACAGTGTCATCCTTGTTCTTGTGAAGCTCCTTCCCCCTTGTTTTTTTCCCCTGCAGGGAAGGCATCTTATTTTCGCGTGAACAAAGTCAAATGTGAAAAGCTAGTGCTAATCTGTCCGTTTATGTAGGTTCCAATTTGGCCTCTTTGCTGGGGAGCGCCCCGTCTCTCTCACGCCGATCTAAGTACTCTTGTACCATTTTAGCAGAGCAGTGACTCTGAGACCTTCTCTTAAGAAGAAGTACTTCAGCACCCCCCCCCCCCCACCCTTTGCTTTTGCAAACACTTAGCAAACACGTGGGTGCCGACAACAAACATTAAGATAAACTGATATTTTCCCCGCATGAAGAAGCCAAAATTATCTCCCTTTTTCATGGTGTAAATGCTGTGCCTGTAAAATGTGTTTACTGTCATTTGATGAAAGAGAGAAATAACAAACACATTCAAACATGTTATGAACCAGTGCAAGAATCGTGCAAAAGTCTGAAAACTATTGAAAGAAAAGTCAGTAAAAAAAAAAGAAAAAAAAGAATAATATCCATGACTTCGAATATTTTGTCAGCTGTGTGAGTGTGCAAAAAGCAGCCAGAAGCTGTAGCTCTTGGAACAAAATGAGCCATTTAAGTGATCCGTGAGCGTGGGTGATGATTTGGGCATCAATCAGCGGATACCCGTCTACATTTTTGGGAATCCATCCCTTACCAGCACAACAACAACCACACAAGCTCTGCTCTTCTGTGTGGGACGGCGTCTTCTTCTTTTCCTTTTCCTCCACAGCCCTTTCCTTTTATATGAACGGAAATACGATATTCTGCAGCCCCAGCCAGAAAACCTGACACAGCTATAGCAGACCATACTGTATCTCCCGCTGCTGTAGAAGGACTACTCCAGCGGCAGAACACTGGCGAGCCTCACAGAAAGATGACTCATCAGCATTTGTTTTGATTTTAAACACCCACACCGGAGGACTTTCCTCTATGTATGTGCGCGTGTGAGCGCATGATGCATCTCCAAGGGTGTGTGCAGACGCAGTGGATGCGTTAAGCGTGGCGCGCTCCAATCTGGGCTTGTTTCTGAGTCCTCTTTCAGCCACACGGTATCGGCAGCTTGCTGATGCATACATTGACAGGAAAATGAATGAATAAGGCAGCTCACTTTTCCTGCAGTAATCCCTCTTACCTCTCCGCGTGCGCTAATGTATTGGAACGATCTCGATGTAAATGGTGGGGTGTCACATTTGATTCAGCGCGAGGCTGCTTTGGGTGACTATAGACTGTAGTCTGTGTTCAGATGGAGGGAAGATTCCAGCTCACTAATGTGTAGTAGTGTGATCTTATTAAAGAGCTCCTCTCAATGTTATGTGGTAGATTAAGTCTCCTGGAGTGTTAAGGACCATGTTTAGCATCATTCCATACTGTGCCTTCTGATTGCGTCTCCCGCTGGTAATGGTAAGGAAGTCTGTGTTGCAGAACACTTCCCCCCGGCTCTGACTGTGTGCTTGTCGTAGTTTCAGCTGCATTAAAGATTGAAGAGTGTGCCTTATTATGGGGCGGGGGGACGACGACACACACACACGCGAAAACTCCTCGTGTCCTCTATTATTCACAAAAGAAATGCTGAGGTGCAAGCGTCACGTATGGGCACCGATGCTGCGAAGCATAGGATAGGATAGATAGATATGCGCGCACGCTGACACGGGCATGGATACAAAAACTCTGGAGCAGCAGCTTTAAAGTGGGGCATCCGTAGTCATGGAAACCAGATCTGATCATGTTGAGAGTCACGGCACATGTCATAAGATGGGGAAGCAGCAACACGCACACGCAGATGCCCAGCGCACATCCAGACTCGTGTAGACCCATGCCGCATATTCACATGTTTCCCCTCCGCCTGCTTCATTGCCTCGAGTTAGGGACAGATAGAGAGAAGAGACCGCGGGGACATGAATTCAGAGATCGGGAGGCCCAAAGCGAAATGAAAGAAAGGCTGAGGAGCCTAAGATGGGGGAGGAAATGAGGGTGCGTGAAAAGGGAATGCTGGGCATGATGGCGAAAGGGAGAGGCGGTTTCAGAGCGGGGTGTAGAATAGGGGATGCAGTGGGCATCATATCAAAGCACCCGGTCTATCCGGCTGCTCGGACAGAGGGGCCTGTGTGTGTGTGTGTGTGTGTGTGTGTGTGTGTGTGTGTGTGTGTGTGTGTGTGTGTTCACATGTCCGTTACTGGATTGTTTTTGCACCTGTTGTTCCGGGGCTGCCGTTTTACGGCCAAACATGTTAGGATCAAATGAAGTTTTTCAACCCAGGGCCAAAGACTTCAGATGAGGTCTTATAATATACTATATAATATAATGTGCACTATAAAATCCTTTATGGTGCACACTAACAGCTTGCTGTGAAACTACATTCCGTTTTCTTCATTCTTTGCGCAAAAACCATTTGACTGCTGTTAATGCCTGTGAGGTAAAAAAAAAAAATCTTAACCGCAGTTACAGTTTTTACAGTATAAAGTTGTAGGTTTCTTTGGCAATCACAGACTCATTGGAATATAAATGCTTGAATCCAATAATTTAGAAAGCCAGCCAGGATGCTGTTGTAATGTAACAGGCTAGAGCAGAGATGTCAAACTCATTTCACATCATGTGCCATATGCAGCCCACTTTGATGTGAAGTTGGCTACACCAATGAAAGTACATAAACTTGTACAGTTACAGAAAATGCTCTGGTAGTTTATTGCTCAGACTGTCCCGTAATGGTAAATTTTGAAAATAAAGTTTTCATTAACTGAGAGAAAATATCCTTGTACTTTGGTGTAGTAAGACTGGGAATAGAGGTGGAGGTCTTTATCTGTAGGAAAAGCCGTAAAACCTGTTAAAATACAGTTAAAAGTTCGATCTCTAATTCACATCTTCTAAAGCTGTCTGGTGGACTGGATTGGAGTCTA